TCATATGGGACCCGTTCCAAACCTCTAATCATTTTAGTTGCCCTTTTCTGAACCCTTTCCAAGGCCAAACTATCTTTTTTGAGGTGAGGAGACCACATCTGTACACAGTATTCAAGATGTGGGCGTACCATAGTTTTATACAGGGGCAATAAGATACTCTGTGACTTATTTTCTATCCCTTTCTTAATAATTCCTAGCATCCTATTTGCGTTTTTGACCGCTGCTGCACACTGTGTGGAAGTTTTCAGAGGACTATCCACGATAACTCCAAGATCTCTTTCCTGATTTGTCATAGCCAAATTAGCCCCCATCATACTGTACGTATAGTTGGGGTTATTTTTTCCAATGTGCATTACTTTACACTTATCCACATTAAATTTCATTTGCCATTTTGTTGCCCAATCACTCAGTTTGGTGAGATCTTTTTGGAGTCCCTCACAGTCTGCTTCCCCAAGACCCGTCCAGCTCTCCTTCCTTGAGGCCTCATCCACTCTGTTCCCCTCCTCTCCATCACTTGCTATCCCCAGCCCTTATACACTCTCACTAGGTTGAGACAGGAGGTGTGGGGTGGGAATGAGGGATTTGGGTGTGGGAAGGGATGAGAAGTACAAGCTCTAAGAGGGAATCTGGATGCAGGAGAAGGGGATGTTGGCTTGGGGAAAGGGATCCAGGCTCGGAAGTGTTGGACTCATGTGGACGGTTGGGGTGCTAAGCAATCAGTGGTTTGAGCATTGGCCTGCTAAACCCAGGGTTGTGAGTTCAATCCTTGCAGAGGCCATTTAGACATTTGGGGCAAAAATTTGTCAGGGATGGTACTTGGTCCTGCTGTGAAGGCAGGGGACTGGACTCGATGACCTTTCAAGGTCCCTTCCAGTTCTAGGAGATTGGCCTCTTAAATTATGGAGATTGCCTGTGTAGACAGGCAACATGAATTTCTTCCGCAAGAAAGCCCTATGGCTAAAATGGCCTTCAGCACTCTCTCAGGCAAGAGAGCGTCCACACTGCCATAGATGCTCTTGTGCAAAAGCACAGCTCGCACATGGCAGTGTGGACGTGTTCTTGCACAAGAACTCTTGCGCAAGATGCAAAAGCACAGCTCGCACATGTCAGTGTGGACATGTTCTTGCACAAGAACTCTTGCTCAAGATGTTCTTACGCAAGAAACCGCCAGTGTAGACATAGCCTAAGAGTTTCCTCGCATGAGCAAAATGAATTTTGTGTTGTGCACCAGTACTGAGTTCATGGGGCTTGTTTGGATGTGCCACTGTGGCACCCAAGTTATTAATAAATATTTTTAAACCTTTATCTTTTCTCTCTGATGCCATATCTCCTCCCCTTCTTCCATCAGTTCCCCTGGTGCCTGCTGCCTCCCAACTCCTCACCCTCCTCTGCTGTCCTGACTCTTGCCCTTCCCACTGCCCTTATCCCTCCTGCAACCTGCCCCCTTCCACCAGCCCTTCTCTTCTCCCTGTGCCCACTCCTCCAGTAGCCCCACTCTGATCATCTGAGCTACCCCTTCTCATCCCTTCGTCTAGCACCTCCCTCGCCTCTCTCCTCTGGTGCTGGTCCCTCCCCTGCCGGTGTCTGCCCTTCTGCTTCACTCCAGAACCCCCTGGCACCTGCACCTTCCCTTAGCTCTGCACCCTCCTGGTGCCTCCTCCTTCCCTTACTGCCCCGCCCTCTTTGCCCTCTTATTCCCTGATGCCCACCCCCTCACCACCCTCTGCCCCCGTTCCCATCATGCCCCTGTGCCCTCACACGACTTGCTCCATCCTGGCCTTCCTCATGCCCACCCCTTCTTTCAAGCCTTCTCCCAGCACCTCCCCCTCCCCCCTCTAGCCTCCAATGCCCTTACCCTCTCCACTCACAGCATCACCATGTCCCCCCTCTCACTGACACCTCCCCTCCTGCCCTTTTCCTCATTGTCTGCACTTGGCTCCCTGGCATTTGTCTCTCCTCCATGCTGTCCCTTGGTGCTTTCCCCTTTCTTCCCCCTCCCTCTCCCGCTCTGCACAAGCCCCTTCCTCTCCAACCCCTTCCCCTATTTCCCCCTCCTCCTCCGCACAAGTCCCTTCCCTTCTGCTTTTCCCCTTCTCTCCTTCCCCTCTGCTCAAGCTCCTTCCTTTCCCAGTGCTTCCCCTACCTTCTGCCTTCCACTTTGTGGGGCTGGACTCCGCGCTCTGTCCCTGGACTCCGAACCCGCAACTCAGCCATACGGCGCAACGCAGTGCCCAGCAGTTTTAAAATCCCAGGCCGTGACGTTACGTCACGCCTGGGTGTCTCCCCGCCTACAGGTTTGAGCATGCCATGCAGGGCAGCAGCACCCAGCAAGGGGAAGCTCAGTGAAGGTTGCGCACAGCAGGGACGAGACAGGACGGGACAGGGATGGGGATGGAGGAGAGATGCTCTAGGGCCGGGGTGGGAGGATGCGCAGGGGGGACCGGGGCCCACTCCAGTTCCAAATATTGGTGCAGCATGGGCACCACGAGCCCATACAACTCGCTGTCCATGCCTGTGCTAGCTAGCCAGCTCTCTCTCTTTCAGAGGGGGTGGGGGATTGCCGGCTCCTCACGGAACCCCTAGTTTCACTTCGCGGAACCCCAGGGTTCCCCGGAGCACCAACTGGGAAACACTGCCCTAGACGATCGAGATATAAAAGGAGAAATCAAGGATGATAAAGCCATTGCGGATAAACTAAACGATTTCTTTGCTTCAGTCTTCGCGGCTGAGGACGTTGGGGAGATTCCCAAATCTGCACCGTCCTTTATGGGTGATGAATCTGAGGAACTGTCCCGGATTGAAGTGTCATTAGAGGAGGTTTTAGAACAAATAGAAAAACTTAATGTTAACAAGTCTCCGGGACCGGATGGCATTCATCCAAGGGTTCTAAAAGAACTCAAATGAGCCCAACGGGGGGCTCTTGTGCATTTCAAAGAGGAAGCACGGCACGGAGCACGGGGCCAGCAAGGACTCCCCGCTGACTCCGGGCTCCATGCGGCACTTCTATCTTTGAAATGCATGAGGGCCCCAGTGGGGGCTCTTGTACATTTCAAAGATAGAAATGCGGCTGTGCCCCTGCCCCCTCTCACAGAGCTGGAGCTGGGAGAGAACCAGCTTTTAAGCCGGCTCTCCCAAGCACCCCTTCCTCTTTTCCCCCTTGCTACCTTTGTTATAGAGGCAACAAGGGGGGGGGAAGCGACTAGTGTATCAACTATCCAATAAGCTTTTGCTTATCGGATAATCGACAAGTCGTTTAGTCACTTACATCCCTATTTTGTATGATGAATTCTCTCTCCTCCCAAATTTCCTTTTATGCTCGTTTGGATGATTTGATGATAGGACCAAGTTGTGCATTAAAATAATTATGTTTAGATTAACAGAACAGCATCCCGACCCTCAAATAAGCACTTAAAAGAACTACAGACAAAACTGTACTCTTTTGTTATGTTGGTTTTGGTGTATACTTACTAAGAACTTCAGAAAATCTTCACTCTGCAAAGGATCTGAATGTCTCTGTCTCTTATCAGGCTATGACAAGAAGGGCCCTTGAAAAGCCAGGATAATTCATAACAAACTATGATTAACTTGTAAAATACAGTGATAGACAATTCACTCATCTTGTGGCCCGTGTGAATGTAATTGACCAAGAAGGATACAACAACTGTATCAACAGCAGCAGGGTAAAGTTTCGCTCCAGGAGAGGTAAGGCCAGGACACATTATGTTTGCTCCACTGAGTACAAATTTAATGGCTCCTTTATCAACCTGCTGATGTGGTAGAATAAATGGATCTAGGAGGGGGGGAAAAAAGAATTACCACACTATAGAAGCGATGAAAACATCAATAATCCATACCACTGACTCTGTAATACACCTGCATGTTCTAAATCAAATTAAAAAAGACAAGACAGATTACACATATCATGAATTTAGTTTATTATGGTAGGCGATTTACCATTATCCTGTCATTTATCTGGAGGCTGTGCTGTTTGGCAACACTGGCTCCACAGATCTCATCACTACTGGACCAAAAAAGCTGTTTCAAAAATACCTAAGTCACTTAGTAGCCCAATTCCATTGATTTTCCATTGGATTTAGGAGCTTTTGCAAATGTTCTCCTTAAGAATCAGAATAATGTAAACAAATAGGAACTCAGAGAAGAGTAACAAAAACAAACAATTCAAAGGGATAGTTCGATCAAAGATATGTTTTGCAGAATGGGCATGAGGGGTAGAGTTGCTAAATACATATAAAAAGGATGCTGACATGATAGCCACCTATAATTATTTTTTAAAATAATCAAAATAAATATTGGGTAGAACCAGGGGTCATAACATGCAGTAATAGGATAAAACAACAATTCAGAATAAATACCAGGGGAAAATCTCCCAGAGAAACTGGGGAACGCTTAGACTATTTAACAACAATACTACACAAAGCATCACAAAAATGCTGTTAGGGAACAATCCCTTATTTGCAGCAGAAAGAACTCAGTGACTTTGCAGCTCACTGACTGGGTCTATCTTCCTTTTATCTATGGCTGATAAAATTTACCACTTGCATCTGTTTTATATAGTAATTAAAGCCTATTTGAATTCCACTCATTATGCCCCGCTCCCAAGAGACTTACATTTGTGAAGTAACCTTAGAGTTGGGTAAAATGTCCCTTCTCTTTGCCTGAAGAACAATAACTCTCCATTTACTGTGAGGATTTCTATATGTTCATGACTGGAAGATAAAAAGAGTTAATTAATATTTTTGGGTAGTGCATCTGAGCATGTCACTTCATACTACTCAGTTTCTCCTGCATCTCAACATTTAATGCAGAAATGGGGCATTCCAGCAGTAACATTTCAGTCACAAGTTTCTTTACTAAGATCACATACCAATTTCCTCAGTATTCCCATCCTCCCCCACCACCACCACCAATATAAAAAAAGAGGCACAGTCCTTCAATCACTATGGATTTGCTTTCTCTGTTTTTCTAATTTTAACATTTGACAATGAAGTTCAGTACAGGTATAGTATATTGTGAACTGTGTAAAAAAACGGAATCAGTTAACTCAGAGTTGGAAAGCCAAATAGAGAAAAATATTCCCCAAGTTTCCTCCTCCTCATAATACAACTTTCCAACCCAACTTACCCAAGCTTAAGCAAATTAGATTTGAAGACTTCTACATTTATGTTTGTGTGTGTGTAATAACAATCTCAGAAATAATTATTTCCAGTAATGCCAGATATGTGCCAGGTGATGGATCAGTTATTCAGATGAGTTCTTACATAGCTTTCCTAAAGCATAACGAACATGGTTACTTTTGAACTAGTCATAATTTATAAACTCCTACATAAACTTACTTCTATGATATTCAAGAGAAAAAGCATTTCTCAAAATAGACTCAATTTTACTGGGACACAGAAAAGTATGCAATAGGTAAACATCAAGGCAATTTGGAAGTGGAGGTTACAAGAAGAGAAACTTACCATCTTACTATTTTGACAGGATCTTTCTTTGGCATAATTTGATTTAGCCATGGTTCAATACCAGGAAACTGATCTATCAGTTGGTTCTTAATACCTTTAATAACTGATGTCTTCAGCTGGATGCAGTTAGATACATTCTCCTTTTCATCGAACCTGCCAAGTCACAAAACAAGACTTCAGTGTCTGCAATCTCCCAATATGATGACTATTTTTTAAATGTTAAAGGGACATGTAATTTAGGTATCAAATGTCTGGCAGTATTTCAGTTGTACATTTTTCATAAAATTTTACAATGGAATGCCCACCTGTGCCACTCATAAAAACATTTCTAACTTTGAATCTGCAACTCATTTCTTAAAGGAAATACATAATCTGATATATGTAATACAACATAATTTGCAACATTTAGGTGGCACTTAAATAGCGTTTAGATGCAAACTATTTGCTTTCATAGCAAGTAAAGCCCAATTTTATAGTTTTGGACAGTCCCATTGAACTCAATCTTAAACATAAGGGTTTCCCCAAAGGCTGGATCCTGCTCCATTAAAGTCAATGGGGGTCTTTTCACAAACTTTCAGTTTTTAGGGCTTGATTCTGCTCCCCTTGAACAACTTGCATAATTGGGGCCTTAATTTGTCCCAGTTGGTTTCAATATTACAAGTTATGTTTTTCTGGGTTATCCTTGCTTTGCAAAGCCGCGGAGGGGCTCGGGCAGCGGAGCAGCCCAGGCGCGCCCCGGGGGGAGCCGGCAGGGGGGCATCCCAGGCGCGCCTGGGATGTATACCCAGCGTACAAGACGACCCCCAATTTTTGGGGGATGTTTTTTAACATCAGAGGTCGTCTTGTATGCCGGAATATACGGTAACACAAGTTTATATTGGCCAAATGATCAATTCAGTAAAGATAATGGGAAAGCTCCTTACAAAGTGATTATGTGCACCTTAGGAAACCACTTGGGTAACAGTGAAATACTGAGTTGAAGTACAAGTAGGTGCATAAAAAAACAAATGCAATAAACACAGATGCCTGGCCTATAATGTATGTGGTAGGGAACAGCAGAGATATTTAGAGATTTGTGCATCTATCTGTTCGTGAGTCCATCCATCCCTTCTGCGAATCCGTTTGTTCAAGAACTCCTAAACGGTAAGAGCTAAGGCCACCAAATTTGGTATGCACCTGCTTCTTCTCCTACTTTAAAGCAAGGTCAGGATTTGGTAGTTCCAGGAAAATGGCATGTACCTGGAATGGGATTGTTTTCCATAACATGGAATGAGAGAGGGCTGATTGGAGGGACAACAGGAGGCTGGGAACCCCCACAAGAGACACACCAGGGCCAGGATCTGTCACCCAGAAGGCACCGAGGCCCACTGCATCTTCCTCTGACCATAGTTCCCACTAAGGTACATGCCTGCATGGCCACGCACAAAAAATTCTTCCTCCACCAACCTCCTTTGGAGAGCCGCACAGCAGCACTCACATGGCAAGCAACTGCCCCAGCAGGCCTACTGAGATGGTGAGGTGAGGGAGCAACTGGAGCAGGTGGCCAGGACCTGCCGCAGCCACGTGGCAGGGGAGAGGAGGCCTGCTCCAGCGGCTGGGGCTGCCATGTGGTGGAGGAGCTGGAGCCAGGAAGAGGACCTGTCACATGATGCTGGGGGTGCATCTGCTCCACTGGCCGGGAATGGGACCTGCAGCATGGCCGGGGGAGGGGAGGGAGGTTCTGCTTTGGCAGCTGGGAACATGTGTGTTAATAAATTGGGTGCCATAGCGGCACACATCCAAAACAGCGCACCTGACCTCAATATTGATGCACAAGCCAAAATTCACTCTGCTCATGGTGGAAAATCTTAAGAGGGAACACTGCTCCTACCAGAACCACCTTCACCTCTATGGGTGGCCCCAGTACCCCCCCAGTGCCCTGCTCTGATCCCTTACTTGCTGCTCTGATTCCTGCATCCACCCCTGCCCTAAGCCCCACCACGTATCCAAACCCAACCATGTATCCCCCGACAACTCTCACCCCCTGCCCTCACTCTCACATCCCAAACCCCCTAACCTGAGCCCGCCTACCCCAAACCCGGTGTCCTGGGCTCCCCCACACACCTCCCAATCTTCTGCCTTGATTCCTGCACTCCCGACCCCCTGCCCTGAGCTCTCCTCCCCCCCCCCCAAACACACACACAAACACCTCCCAATCTCCTGCCCTGATTCCTGCACTCCCCAACCTCTGCCCTGAGTCCCCACAAGAACCCAGGTAAATCCTCTAGTATAACTACATTAGACACAATAAATCAGCCCTCACTAGATCAATTGCTGCCCATTTATCCAGCCTACAGCAAAGACATATCCTCTGTAATCTACTAGCTAAATAATAGCAGTAAAAAACCTAGACATGAACACTTGCTTTTGACAGGCCTAACAATCTCAAGAAAAATTAATGAAGAAGAGTGCTAAAGATTGCATTGTATCAGTGTTTAAGACACTTCTTATTTGTATCAGTTACTGGACAATTACACTTTCAGAGAATCACAGAATTGTAGGACTGGAAAGAACTTCACGAGATCTAATGAAGTCCAGTATCCTCTATGCACGGCTGGACTACGTATTATCTAGACCCAAGCATTACCTAAGTACTATGTTTAGGTATAATTGAACCTATCAGAAGTCTTCATGGCCTAATTGTTAGGCAACATTCATTGTGTGAAGATCAGAAATGCACAAACTACAGCATTATGAAGAGAACATCAAGCCTACAGCACTGAATGAAATTGTCAACTATCCGTGTGCGTGTTATCCCCTACGGCAGTGAACACACACACACTACCCAGCCCCCTGCTTGCGGTTGCAGCTCACGGCACAGGGTTGCGAGGGCGGTTCTGCTCTCTCACACGCACCGAGGGGGCGGGGGGCGCAGGGGCGGGGAGGCCCTGCGGTGAG